TTTTTTTTTTATTATGGAGTTTTTTTTTTTTATTTTAGAAATGTTTTTGATATTTACCTTTGGGGAGTTTCTGACCGTAGCTTCCTTTGCGTTGAGGTCATTGAGATCGGCGAAGAGCTTAGAATCATCATGTGAATTGCTGCAACTGCTGTTGCCGCTGCCAAGTTCATGTTCCTCTTCTTGCAGCTTGTTTATTTTGTCCAAAAGCTCCTTCATGTAATCTATGGCGTCTCCCAAGATTGATGTCCTGTCCATCTGTTTTTTTTTTCATTCAATAATAATAATAATAATACCCATTATTATAATTATATAATACCAACTTCATTTTACAGTTTCAGTACTTGCTTTTATCGCTTAAAAGAACGTGGATTCCCAAAATGCAATTATGTTCTGAATAAAGAAATTGATAAATATAAACTGTAATGAAGGTGGTTCACACCAGAGAACAAACACGTAACATCAATCAATAAAAAAAAAGTTTTTTTTTTTATCAATAATAACCAATCTTCTGAAATAAAACACAACCCAAATCAAGTTTTTTTTTATCATTAGAAAGAATCTTTGATTTCGTTGATGCTGACCGGATTATTTGGATAAAAAAAATATAAGAAACACTCAAATGGAGTAGAATTAAACGGAAATCGGATCTAAGGGAAGAATCTTTTGAAGTTACCTTGCTGATCTTGGGGACAATGGATCGGAGCATGGAGAGTCTGTCATTCAACCTCTTCCTCCTCCGCCTCTCCGCCATTAGATTCTTCGAAGGTTGTCCCTCGAGCTTCTTGCTCTTGCTGTTCTTCTTGTTCGTTTCTCTTCCCCCACAGTACCCGACGCTGAAGCTCCTGCTCTCCTCCATCAATGGCGACGAGTACGCCATGTTGTTGTTATTGTTGATGATGTTGTCGTTGTTATCTTCTTGATGGGTCTGCGAGAGGATCAATGGAGGTGAAGATGACGACGACAACTCCATCATTTCTTGTAAAGCGTCGAGCAGAGGGTAGTCAAAGCCGGTGACTAGCGGCGGCGGCTGGTTCAGCAACGGCGCCGGAAGCGCCGGAGAGATGAGATCCATCAGGGAAGAGGAGTAAATGGTCGTGTCATCGTGGTCGAGGAGAGGATTGTTGTTGAAGCAATAGTAATCTAAGTTCCATGAGTTTGTGAAGATTTGGTCGGAGGTGATGAATCCGCCATTGTTGACGAGGTTGTTCTCTGTTCTTCTCGGAGCAAGTAGCTCTTCCAACACACTCATTTCAGTTAGCTCCATCGCTCTGTTCCTCTTTTGTTGTATGTTATATGATGGAGTGTTTCAGATTCTTGTTGAGGTGTTGTTTATATATGTATATGTGTATATATATGTATATATATGCGCTCAGACATGTGAAAAGCGTAAAAAGAATTCCCATTAAATTTAATGTTTTTTGTTACGGGCTTTGCAATGTTACGATTAATCATATAATCATGCACATGATTATATATATATTATGATTAATCAGACCAAAAAGAAAACTTAATGATATTATACACGTAATTAATTACCTCTCTTGCCACCAGCAAGGCTTTGACCCACAAGTCATGTCCCAACGAAAACAGATGAACGTGATTTTGGCCTCTTTCATAGTCACCCCTCCCTCCCTCGGCTCTATTTTTTTATGATTTTTTTATTTGTACTACCCCATCGGTTGGTTTATCTATATTAATATATATTTTTTTGTTAAATAAAATTAATATATTTAAGAATAAAGGCTCTTTCATCTCGGAGATATCAGATTAAACAAATCAAATTAAAGAGTCGGCAAACAATCTTTTTATTAATTTTTGCTAGAAAATGAATCCGATGCATGTATAATCTTTATATAAACATATGAAATAATGAGGGTGGAGGTGAATGCAGCCACCATATTTAGAAAAAAAAGGGTATTATAAAAAAAATAGAATTAATTTTTTCATTGGATCACATTAAAAAATTAATGTTGATTTTTTATTAATTTTATTTAAACTAATCTTAATCGATAACACGTTATTCCAATATCATTAAATTACATATGCGGGTGTATATCACCCTAAGGGGTTCGAGAAGTCAAAGTAATGTATATATACAAATTGCGTATGGATATTGTATTGGTTAATCAGCATATATAATTACAAACTCTCAACTGGACCCTTAATTTGAGGTGTTATGAATAGCGTTCTTCGGTTTTTATAATGCATAGGGCACGGAAATATTTGGACGTAATCCACATTTGTCTACGTTTGACATCGACATTTATTATTTTCTCTTGTTTAGTTTTGTCAAATGAATCTTCATACAATCAGCCATATCATTAATTAACCAAATTTCAGCAAAAATATGGAATTAAATCCAAATCCAATAATCAATATATGCAGACGTTTTCTGGTATGTTGCTTATGGAACAACTATACCAATATAATATTGTGCATATGCTTGATCGGTGATCTCTTCTAGGGTAAATTCTAGATATTGCAGTGTCAATTAACTGTTTATGAAAGTGAGGGGACTTAAACTAATATAAAGAACAAGTTGAAGGACTCCTTTGAAATTTGTGAAAATATAAAGAGAAAATGGAGTATATATGAAATTGAAATGTATATATGGAAATGATGCATATGCCTAGGATGTAGGTATTTTGTAATTTTATGGTACGAGCATGTGAACTTGTTGCTACATCTTCAGTGCCATTCTCATGTAATAAAAATTGTAAAAAAAGTAAATAAAATAAACTGGTGAGCACATGGGCAAGACAACCCCATCTTCATATAAACAAACAAGCTGCCTATATAGCCTCATGCGCCTACAAAGTCTTGTATACACACACACATATATATATATATATATATCAGTGTGCAATATATGAAAATGGACTTGTTCGAGTTCATTGGTACAATTGGTCTATATATATATATGTATATATCACATACAAACATCGACCAAAGGTTTATCAACTAATGACTTTGTATAGTATTGATTATTAATTAATTTTTTTATAATCGAGTATTTTGTGTCGAAACCCAGACTAATTTCGGAACCGAAAACTAATATTTAAATTATTAATTAGTTAAATAAGTCTATACGTACAAATTCATTTTGGTACTTGTGAAAAAAAAGGTAGTTATAGCATGGGCATTTACATTGTGCTATATATGCATACTTGTCGGTGTTCTTATGTCTGTAAAGACATGATATGATATATCCCTCAAAAGTATGGTAGTGATAGGCGGACGTAGATATATACAAAGAATAGTATACACGTACATAAAATACATGTGTATTAAATACGTATGTCTACCATGCATTTCATGTGAATTATAAAATGAAAAGAGTACTCAACCTTATTAAAACAGTAACATGGAAAGAGCATTTCCATATTCTACAATCAAGTTTAACAAGCAACATGGTGCATATACACAAACACAGACACGCGTATATATATATACGAATGTGTATAACTATGTGGATGTAAAGACAGGGCTGAGAGGTCTAAAGGGGGCTGACAGAGTAATTTGTTGTTGTGAAATGTGTGCGAGTACAGTAAAATGTCTCGGCTTCCAAAGTTCAAAGCTTTGTTTTCCGGTCTCTCACTCTAATAACTCACGTACTATTTATAACAATATATATTGCACGTGACTGACCCAAACTGCACGGCAAATTTAGAAGATGTTCACGTTCTCCCCTCGTTGCCATTCTTCGATGTCCCCCCTCTCTCTCTCTCTCTCTCTCTCTCTCTCTCTCTCTCTCTCTCTCTCTCCGGTCGGATGATTTATTCATAATGGACGTTCGTTCGAAAATTTCGGTGGTCTGCATCATCATAACTTTTGACGTTATCATGAAATGAAATATTCTACATATCTATTAGACGATGATCCAAAGGTTTAGAAGTGATAAAGTCAGTTTTAAATAACCCAAATTTGGGTGACCTAGTGGTGAGAGAATATGCAAAGCATGCTCTCACCCTCGGTTCAAACCCAAGCGTGGTGAGTGACATTCACCTGGACTTCTCCGTTCCTCTGAGAGATGTAGTATTTTTTTCTAAAAAAAATAAATGTAATTTTGAATCCATACATCCCTTATCAGTGTATGGACAGCTATCTCTCGAGCGCAGAGTTTCTTGATATTTTTGAATCTTGAATTGTATCTTCATGAAAGGAATATTGAAGTCGATAGTCGGGCCAAAGTTTCGGTGAACTTCCGGATTATAAAAAAAAATCAGTTTTAAATATTTGATTTGATTCCACCAACACCAAACGGGTAATTAATTGTGTGACTAAAAGATAATTACAAACCTAAAGAATTAAATGGTATGAAGACAGTGAATCTATTGATTATAAAAAAAAAAATCTTCTACGTTAAAAGGAAAAAGAAAAAAAAATCTTTCTATTGAAAAATGTATCATGCAAAGACGTTGATGAAAAACATCTACGTGTATATGAATAAACGTGTGTACAAATGTGTTTGAGTGTGTATATCGAATGAATATTAGAAAGCGATCCAATGATCTAAATATGTTCCACACCATAAAACACAAAGTAAAATTTCAAAAGGAGTAATTAAATAGCAAAACCTATCGAAATAAATGGGAATGCAATCAATTTTAAAGGAAGTTAGCCATTTTGGATGGTTTTCGTGGTTTAGATTTTTATAGTTTTATTTTGTTACAATTTAAAATACAATAATTACGGTATGCATAATAAACATGAATATGTATATATATAATAGAACACGGTTCTCAAGGTGAATGAGTGCATGCAAAAGGACAAAAACAACGGCCACGTGAATGTTCTCAAGATTCGTACACGTGTCAATTCCAAGCTCATCCACGTGTCTATCTGACCAGCTTTAGCTTACTCCCGAAATTAAGACATTTAATTATCAGTTAAGCTAATTTCAGAGTTAAATAAGTATATCAAGTGTGACATTTAACGAATAAATGTCACCGGCGAACACGAAAAACGATTTTTGGAATATTGTTAATTTACATTCTGTCTGGGGGACTGTTCATTTGGCTCGACAAGAAATTCATATATAAATTAATGTAACCCGACGGAATTCAAATGATTAGAGAATTATCCTTTATTATTTAGATATTTAAAAAAAGAGCATAACATCTAGTAATTGGTCCATCGGCTATAATTTCAATGCCGCATTTTATTTATCATATAGCAATGTGGATCTATACATTACTATTAGCGCAATCTTTCAGGAAATATATAATATCTGTCATATTGGTGAAGGTAATTTGGTAAAAACAATCATCTTTGAGATGAATATATTTTGGTAATATTCCACAATTAAAATTTTACATTTTTATACGATTCGAATATCATGGACCAGCACGAATTAATGTAAAAATGCAATTAGACTCGGGTGACGCACGATACTGTAATGAAAAAT